TCCATCTAGTTGCATTAATCTAGTTCTATTAATTAGTTAGTTGTATCTAGTGAATCTAGTGGCATTAACCTAGTTCTATTAATTAGTTAGTTATATCTAGTGAATCTAGTGGCATTAAATCAATGCCGCAGATTGCTTGTGATCGTTGCACTACTGAAAGAAAGTTTTCAAGGATGGGTACAATTAACACTTCCCATACCGATAATGAACCCGGCACATAAAAAACAGAATGTGGACACAATGGACTAAAAATACTTGAAAATGTAACCAACATGCCAAACAAACTGTCAGAGGGACCTGAGCATTACATATAACAAGTGTCAAGAATTACTCTGCGATATTGCTCGAAGCCAGTCACAACACCTGCCATGCACGGATCATACCTTCCCCTGCACATTGGCGAGGTCAGTCTTGATAGCCTGAGCTTGGCTGATGAGCATGGCATACTCTTCCTTGTAAGCAGCAATGCTCTTTTCTAGTTGACTGATCAGCTTGTTGACCTCTTCTCCCTTCAGCTTGTTCGTATTCGCTGTTCTCTCCAGATTTTTCAACTCTTGTCGGAGTGGGTCAACCCGATTCAGCATCTCTGCATAGTTCACCTATGCAACAGACAGTCATACATGTATGCATGTAGAATTCTTCTTCTTCTTCTTCTTCTTCTTAAAGCAACACTATATAAATACGATAAGTGTATTTCAGATATATATAACATTGTAAGTCAATTACTCTAATTGTTCATAGAATATATATTAGCTACAAACATGAACATATCAATACAGATGTGTATAGATATGTTAATGGTACAAGTAATAACCCACAAAATAGATATTTACCTGTGCAATGGCCCACTTCACCAGGGGACCACAGGCCAAACTTGCACGGTTCACATTCACAAAGTTGAAGTCAGGGTTGTCTAGATATTTCTGCTTCATCTTCAAACGAATGTCATCCCTAGAACATGACACATTAATCATCACTTGTAAGCCGAACACCTTGCTTTATGAGACATGTATGTATAATCAACACAATAGTATATATTCTCATATAGCATGCACTCAGACATACTCTAGCATACACAGAGCTAACATAACTAAGAAGTATCCACCCCTCTGATTAACTACTACTACACCCTGCACAACTACATACGTCAAGTCGTTCGTGTCAAAGTTGACGATTGTTGTGATGAAGTTGTCGCGGATGATGACCGTGCGAATTTGTTTCCAATCCGTCGCATTTTCGCCCAGTAGGAGGCACACAGACTCCAGGGCGAGCTTCACCATGGCAGGTGGATTGCCCATCGATCGCACCTCGACCAAGTGTTGCTTCTTGATTGACTTTACAGCTGTAAAGCAAGTTTACATTCCACATCAAAACGACAATGATAGCATGGTTTTTGTGTGTTCAAAACAGTGAATGCTCTGTCACTGCAGTAGGCATTCTACGCTATAGAGCAGTGGCATATAATCGCTATACAAAGCTAGCGCCAATATCTAGT